ATCAAGCAATGACAAACGCCAATTATTGGTAAGCTTTAAAGCGGGAGAGGGAGGAATTTCCCCCACTTCTAACCAGACCAAACCTTCGTTTGTGTCAGAAGGAGAAGCAGAAAAGTGGGCTAAGGGTGAAGACATTGTTGAGACATAAAATTAAGTGAACATGTTGCACATGCAGACTACAAAGCATTATTAGGTGCCGGTTAATGAAACATTCAAGATAGAGGAGTTCATGGCAGAGACATTTAACACATTTCAACACGTTTTTCTTACAGCACATAGTGAAAGTATCAATGATAATTCTGAGGAAACTTCCAAGTCCATGATGTTCCACATCCTTGTACCTGGATGTCCAGAACCTCTACTTGAGTGACCAGCCATTCTCTTTAATTTTTCACTGGATAGCCCAAAGGTTTAAAAATGACAGATTGAATCCAGGAGGCAATCAAGGTATTATAAATATCCCTCTCCAACTTCTTCCATGGCTTAGTTCTATAAAAATTAAATTTTATAGACTTAACTTTATGCACATTAGTCAGTCATCATTCTAATTTGCTTTCAAAATTTGGACCAAGCAAGATGCAAAGACATAAACCAAAGTAAGTATATTTTACTGAAGAAAGAAATCTCAATTTAAGAATGGAAACCTGAATCTAAAAAAAAAAGAAAAAAAAATCTCTATGTTATAAGCACAGAATTATAAACACTTGTATCATTCTATTCTGTTGGAATCTGGCATTAAAGAAAAAAAAACCAAAACACCACTCACAGAAGACCCCAGGCTTTAGACAGCATTTCTGTAAGCACGTGAAGAACCACATAGATGCCCCTGTTCTTCCACTAAGTTAAGAATAAGACTCTTGGGCAATTATCTTTATAAAATATAACATGGAGTATAACAGCATATTTTCTTTGAAAAGATTAGGACACCAAAGGGAACCACAGAAACTGGAAGAATACATCTTATAGTCTTTACCATAAAAACCACCAAACAACAAAACCCCAAATCCTTTCTTTACAATTCTTCACAAAAACTATCCAAGATTAATATAACGGCCTTTGAATCGAAGGGTTCAAAAAAAAAAAAAAAAAGACACTTCAGCTTGAGTTACAGAAAGTAACACATTATTTCATGTATTTATGGTTTTTTTTCTTAGAAAGAGTTAAAATTAAAAAAAAAAAACAAACTAACACTCAAACTGTTTTTGGTCTTCATTCATCCCCATAATCAAGAAGAACTGCTTTCAAAGTAAAACTCACGTACTGATAATATAAGCCCACATAAGCATGGTAAGAAGTGGTGAAAATGGTGACAAAAATGGAACTGCCCAATCAGGTAGCCATACCATGCTAAATCAGTCTCATGGGAAATAACTATTTTATTTCAAGAGAAGTCTAAACATTACAATTGAAATCAAACAGTAATCGAGGGAGTCAAAATCTTTATCTATTCAACAGTGTTACCATAACCAAATGGGGAGGAGGGCTTGCCTACATTCATTTAACGAGACAAAGCCTTTTTTCTCCTGCAAACATCTTTTACGAGAATGAGCATGTGCAAGCTTTTAATATTTGAAGGTGCTACAATTGAACATGAGAAAAATAGGTAAGAACATGAAGCTTATCCTAAACAGTTGTACCATACAAAAGCATTCTTTTAACTCCTATTTTATCACCACAGATTTTCTGAATGTGCAATCTTTGTACATCTACTTGCAAACATCTTTTTCTACTATAGGTAAACCAGGGGAAAAAAACTTGGTTTACAGAAGCTTGGATTCTACTGTTTACTACCCTTTGTTTGTTGATACACTAGGTCAGGTTTTTTCCATTTTCTGCATAGCCAGACTACTCTGAACTAAATGCACAAGAATGATATATTGATGACTTTCTGTAGCTGCAGTCCCAAAATTGTACTAACCCCTGCAGCCATTTAGGTAGAATTTCTCAGGATATTGTTGCTTGTTAAAAAGGACTGAAGTATAAAAAATGGCTCGGCTCCAAAGATTCTATCACAACAGACACTGGTACTCCCTATACATGCATTTTTTTGTAATACTACTAAAGCCACTGTTTCTCTGTACTCGGTTCTCAAGTACAGAGGTATAACACTCCTCCTGAGAAGAGTAACTTCTTTCAAAGAACAATCAGAGTGAGGTGGACAAAAAGTGGGAAGAGAACTACTGATAACAGCAGCCCTCAAAGGAGCAGATTAAGAAGCCTCTCTTCCCATTACCAAAAGGAATTCAGTAAACAGAACCTCACAAATACCAGTGAAAAAGAAAGAATCTGCAAGATAACTGCAGACTAGCTTCAACGAGTTTGCATTTCCACCCTGGATAATTTTTTTTTTTATAAATGGATACAAAACTAACTCAACAAATATTTGGGGTTGGTTGGCTGGTTGGGTTTTAGGTGGTGTGTTCCCCCCCCCTTACTTGGGGAGGGGGCGTGGGGAAGAGGGGAAGAACGCACTGCTTGCACATAGTTTTTAAAATTACACAAATACCTCAAGAGAACTTAATCATCAAACCTCCTTTGATTTCGACAAATAAAAAGAACAGACCCTATCATACCTTATACATACAAAAAATAAAATAATAAATTTTAATTCTTCTATTTAGGTGTGCCCAAGCAGTACAGAAAACTACTAAGTTATCAGCTACTAAACCATTCTTTCAAATATAAAATAAACTCACACTAGTAGAAGCATTTCTCAAAATTAAATTAACTTAAAAATATATTTATCATTAATATGCAAATTAAATCTTTAAATTTGTAGTGAAAACTAAAGATTATGGAAGTGGACAACATTAAACCACTGTACATGCCACATTTCAATATACAGTAGTTTAGTAATAGCTAAAGAACAGAAAAGAAAAAAGCATATGACTTCCTAGCACTAAACATCAAACAGTAGTATCTCCTTTTTAAGTCAATATTAAATTAGCAGAGAAACCACTTGCTTTTATGGTAGGCTGACCGAGAGAAAAATCCCAGAAAGTAACAAGTCTTCAAACACAGCATATGTACTAACAAAATCCTCACAAATAAAATATAAAAGGAGATATGCATTCAATATTTAGAAAGTTACCCTAATGCAGTTGAATACAGGCTTACTATCTGTTTTTCTTTACTACAAAGACTTAATTCTGGAAGACAAATTCCTCAAGAGGGAATCTAGTCTTCCAGTTTCTGCATCAATGAAATAATTTCAGTCTGCATAGTGGTGTTCATTTTTTAGTTCATATTAAATGTTAAATACAAACAAGCACAATAATATACTGGGAACTTCAGTTAATATTACAAGCTAGTTATTAGAAAAAACTTATTTTTGTATTCATAATTTTTATCAGTCATGTAACTTTTCAAAATTTACCATTTTCTTTGTACTGCAGAAAATATTCTTAAACTTAAATGAGATTAAATAATATTTCTAAGCAAGTATTCAAAAAGAATAAAAATAACTTTTGATCTGTGACCTTCTAATGTCACATTTGAAGTATAAGGTTTAAATGCATGATAAGACAAGCTTATAATAGAAACACTGTCATGTACTGGCAGAATTCCCAGCTATATCAACTTGCATAAAACAGAGATGTAACAAAGCAGCAGCATGTTTCTGGCTACCACCTTGGCAATCTGAATCCAAATAATATGACCCACAAAAGATTGATATCCACTTTCTATACACTACATAATAGACAGAGAAAGATGAGGATTATAACTATACAAAGTATTATCTTATTCACCATTTATAATTAACACGCAATCTGTAGCTCTGAAGTCACTCGGAGCACAGGAGATTCTTTGGAGTGCCTCTCACATTCACACCACTGCAAACTGGTTCAGTAATCTTGATTGCATGAGTTTTCTTTAACCATGAAGGGATTAAACAAATGAACCCCCCAAAAAGACTTGCTTATTTCTGCAAACATAAGTGGGGAAAAATAAACTGATGATAAACTGATTTGATGGAGTATGAGTTTCAAATAGCAAGCCATAACATCCTAATTAGGGACATGGTTTAGTGATGGACTTGGCAGTGCTAGGTTAACGGTTGGACTCGATGATCTTAAAGGTCTTTTCCAACCTAAACGATTCTATGCTTCTATGATTCTAATATATTATTGATATACTATTGATAACTTTGACTAGTTTGAGACACTCCACTTTGCCCTTGTCTCCCTTACTATGCTGGGGTTTTTTGTTGTTTTGTTTATTTGTTTAACTTGCTAGGTTTGTGTGCTCAGAATAGGTTTACATTTGAACAAATCAATTAAAAGAAAACTAAAAACTTTCTAACATCAGGTATGCAAGAATTACGTCTCCAATGCTTGATTGTGAAGCTAGAAGTAGGTAGAAGGGCAATATCACGAAGCATGTCTAGTGATTGAAATTTCTCTTTGAAGATACATCGTGAGCAGAAAGACATTCCCCCAAACTACAAGGAACAGAAACCTAAACCCAGTGTTTCAACATCAAAGAAGAAAAATCCATGTCATGTAGGATTTCTGAAGGGCAAAGAAAGTGAACAGTGGAGAACTCGGAATAGAGGAAAGACAGTACAAAAATACACTAAACAGTCATCTAAGTAGTACAAAGACCTGCTGGAAGTCATTTTAAAATGGACCTAGCTTAACATGTTAACATAAACAATGTTTTAATTCTTGAAGCATCTTAAGACCTGCATCTGAGAAATTTATTAATAATCACAACCATCTTTTCAACAGTCGATACAGCAGCATCCACAACCTAACTTCAAAATCATCCTGTAAGTAACTAAATGCTTTCCACTTACATTGGTATACTAGAAGAACACAACTTGCTACAAGTTGCACACACAATCCTCCAACTTGCATTAAGAAAAAAAACCCACCACAATTAAATTGATTTAAGTTCTTCAATTAGGAAAAAACAGAAATAGTTTTGACATTAAACAACAATGAAACATGAATATGACAACTGAATTATATAATTATTCCACCTGTGTTTGTACTTGCCTAGCAATACTTTAGCATCTTCCACATCAAAATCTCCGTCTCCATCAGCATCGTATATCCCAAGCTTGCCTAGAAATGCAAAGAGAGGAAGAAGAAAGAATCAGGGATCCAGCAGTTTGTTTCCAGCACAGTGCTTTCAACGTGCGATTGTTGACTGTCAGTGCTAGGTTGTTACCCCCCCCCCCCGTTGACTGTCAGTGCAAGTTTTTCCCCCCCCCCCCCTTTCTTTTTTTAAATGTTTTAGCCGTACTCTTCTTAACCATATTTTACATTTCCTGGAAAATATTACAAATATTTTAAGTTCCTTTCTGCATTTGCTAGACTTCAGACTGAACACAAGTTAGTCTTTTTCCCCCACACATTTATTTTGGTGCTTGCAGATTTAAAACAAACCTGTAATTAAGTGATGTGCTTTATGTGAACATGCTTTGCTCAGAATAAAATTTAAGTTCACAAGGAACATTCAACATGTTTGAGGGAAAAGAAATAATAAAACAAGAATTAATCAAATAATCACCGTTTGTTTTCTGATTATATGCTTCTTGCCATTCTAAATTCTCCGGAAAAAAAAGATAAGTATATAATTTTTAGTGCCAAGTTAATAGAAGGTAAGCAACCTACTTCCTGGACAAAGGAAAAACGTTCATCATTTTATTAACAACTGTATAACATTCACTGCAGACAAAAAAGTTGTCCATCATTTTATAGGTGACTATAGGTGAATACATCAGACTTCTCACTTTTATTTTTGGAACTGCAGCTCTGCCAGCTCTAAGTATAAGCAAAAGGAGAACCCACTTACTATTCAAAAAGAATTTTTAGCATAGAATCATGGTATCCAGGATTAGAAGTGTCCTGGGATCACTGAGTAGAGAGCTATCTAATTAGTTTTGATAAAATTCAGACATAACTTTTAATAGGATTGAAATTCTGCACGCTGTTTGCAGAAGAACTCTAAGTCCTTATAGTTTGCCAGTTTATTATTACATTTGTCATTCTCTAAATGGAGGCAGAACTTGACTGCCATTAAAAAAAATGAAATATAGTTCTTAATATGGTACTTAGAAAATTAGAAAACAGTTACGTGGAAAAAAAGTTCAGACTTGGATCTGGAACAGACAAAAATAAGGCCATCACCATCATACAGAAGCAATCAATTAGAAAGGATCTTTATTGGTTTATGGTTAAACACAACAGACCGGTGGAATAAATGTAATTCTCTAGAAATAAGAATTGTATCATCTTCAAAACCATGAAGAATGAGACAGATGAGAAACGACTGAGTTTCGTGCCATTGTAGAAGAATAGTAATTCTCTAAAAAATTAAAAACAAAAAAGTAAACCAAAATTTTTAGTCAAGGGACTGTAAAGCAATCTTATTTCTCTAATATCCTACCTTGTAGGACCTCTGACAAGTTATAACGGAAATCCTTTGCTTTGGCTGCATGCATGGTAAAAATATAGAAACCATTATTTGCATCACTAGACCAAATTAAGTTTCAAACCAGAAGCTTCTCTTAAAATCAGTCCAGATCAAAAAAGCATGTACCAACAGACTTGTAAAGCTGTAAAGCTTGCAAAAGTGTGTGTTGAAGCCTACAAGATGTGGGACAATAGCTCTACCTATGGACATACATCTTGAAACTTGAGACATTAATTTTCACCCTTAGATATTATATTAACAATACTCTCAACATTGTCATATTGAGATACAATTATCACCATTATAAGCTTAAAACTGAGGTCATGCAACAGCTCATTCACGAGAGGATGATTGATCAGGTGTCCTGACTCTATAGGCAACACAGTCCATCAGAGGAGTGGTAACATTAGCTGCCCGCTTTCAACCACTGCTGCAAGTTTCTGAGAGCTTAAACTGAAACAATGCATATTCAGCTGACATTTCAAATGAACTGCAGCATACATGTTACAAAGAGATCCAGACCTATCCTTGGAGATTTCTTCAATTCTTTAATAAATGCAGTATGTTAATAACCTTTTCCATTCTTATGAGAATCCCATTTTAACATCATAATAGAGTTCAGCATTAAAATGGACTTTTTGAACTACATTGCCTATTCTTATCATGTAGGTCATTTGCAAATACCACAGTAGACAATTCAGCTATCTAGAAATTTAAAACAGCCTCCATTTACTGTATATCATAATAATTATTAGAAGCATCTTAAGATTTAAAATTCTTACCTAGAACTTCTTCATAATCTACAAGTTCAAACCAGACAACTGCTACTGATGTCCAAACTCCCAGCAAAGCAATTACCATAAACCAGGTGAAAAATGAGCTTCCAGAGAGGCCTTCTTTCTTTCCATTCTTGCTTCCTCCATGTTTAGTCTCTGTTAAAGTAAGGCAAACAAGTAGGGAAAATGGATTCATATAAGAGTTAGAAAATTATGATTGAGGCTATAATTGTAAATCTTGTTTCTTATGACTACACAGAATGCAAGACATTGGAGTAAAACTTTTTTACTAGGGGTTTGTTTGTTTGTTTGTTTTTAACTTCACCACTGTTACTTGCTTTTCATATCACTGAATTACGATGGGAAGCTCAATGATTACCTAAGTAGAAGTCCTATAACCAACCAAACACCAAAAACCCACATGTAATTTGTCTTAACAACTTAGTTGGAAATCCCCCCTTCCTCCCCTTTAGTGTATATTTATACAGAGCTTAACATTTTTGGGATGCTTTGCATTTGTGCCAACAGTTCTCAAACTGCCACCAGAGGGCAATATGACCAGCAGAAACAGTTTGGAAGAAAAGTGTTTCTTCTGTAGCAAGTTTCAAAGCTAGTTGAAATAGCTCACGGAATCAACATGAAAATTAAATAGCCTAAGAAGCCTAAAATCTAAACCATATTAAAGGTAAGACTCCAAGATCAGACACTCTACCAACTAAAAATATCTTCCCTGTTGCTTAGAGTCAAGCAGAGAGATTCACTACACGCTGAATACCTTTAGACTTCCAGTTCCATGGAACATAAAGGTAAAACAATGACACAGAGACTTAATGCAAATCACAGCTTCATTTATAACCACATGTATGGAAAGTAAGCGTATATAAAAAAAATACAGTAGTTAAAAACAAACCACTGGGAAAAGAAAGTCCTCAACCTAGCATATGGGTAGGGGGTTTCAAATGGGCATCACCACTAGAGAACACAAATTGCTTGGTCCATTGCTTTAGGACCATTTTAGGAAAAGAGTCATATATGTAGTAAATAAATGGGCATCCAAGAAGATGCCTGTGGCCCTTCTCCAAAGCTGAAGGTCTGCTCTTCTGCCTCCTGATACTACTTCTGCAAGGCTGGCACTTGGCCACAGTTTCACATCTACCAGCCTATTCCACTTCACTCCCTTCTAAGCACCAGCCTTTGCCCGTTCAGCCACATTCAGTCCTAGTTATTAAAGTAAAACTATTTCTAACAGATTTTGAAATACTCGAGGAACTTTGTCATGAATATTGTGATAATATAATACGGCGGGGAGTTAACTTTATCATACTAACTGCAAGTAATGTTTGATGTATTTATCAACACTGATAATAGAAAAAGACAAAAAAAACTCTCAACAGCTAAATATCAACATGATTTTTTTTTAGAATAAAATGGAATAGCTCTGAAAGATGAGTAATGAGAGACTGGTGACTTATTTCTGTAATAGATATTATACAGAAGTACGTTCAGACCCTGCTTGCCATCAGGTTCGCAGCTGTAATAAACTAACCTTTTATTACATTCATTGTGCTATATACTGAGCTCAGACCAATAAAAAAAAAAAAAAACCACAACTGACTCACCTCAGCTCTTAGTCAGCTCAGCATTTTATTGAAAAAAAAAATTATTTTATTAAGACTACTCTGTACAAAGATCAAATACCAACTATTTAGTTTCTTTTCTATATTAAACAAAAAGTTGCCTTGGTATAGGCTGTCCAATAATATTCAGAGAGAAACTGAGACAACTTAGCCTCACATCAGGCATGAATCGTTTGCTACTGCACAGTACCCTAATTATGTATGTGCAAGGTCCGTATACATAACTCATCATAACATCACTCTTGTGGGAAAGATGTACAGGTAGCCTGAAAATAGAGGCAAAGACAAGCAGCATGTGCCAGTACATTCAGAAATATGATCAACTGTATGTGAAAATTATTTAACGTACTCTTGAGCTGGAAATGTTAATATTCGGAAATAAACAATTATACTATGTAACAGCAGAACTTTGCTACTCCTGTTTTCCACTGTAGTCAAGGGAAGCTCTGTACGTATTTAAAATGAAACCTTAAGGCTAAAAACATTTTAAATGATTCCAGGTAAAAGTTTGGTTCTAGAGAAAACCAGGTATTGGAAGAGGCAAACAGAAAAGAGAATCTTACTGTATTTCACACTTACTAATTTACCTTACTGTTTTCTACTGTTTACTGCTAGTTCCCTCTGAAGAAAGGGGCTTTACTTATTAGAAGAACAGGAAAATGAAAAAGAAAAAAAAAAAAAAAAGACATTCAAGTAATCAAGCATAGCTGTTCGTATTTTTTCCAGTCTAAAAGACTGTTTCATGCAAATCCCTCAAAAACAGATTCTGCTATAAAAATATCATTCATGACAGTCACAAAGACAGATTCTTATGCTGTGGCCTCCTATCTTATAGAAAAATTATTTTCAAAACTCTTGAAAAATTCTGCTAAGAATTCAACCATGGCAGCTTGATCAGGCAACACTTTAATATAAATGGAAGTTACGTAACATAAAATTTACCTATGGTCTGCACAGATAACCCTATGCATAGGGTCAGGACAAAACATTGCAAGGACTGATGCTGGCTCAGAGCTCATTCCAAAGAGTTAATTCTCAATTCAAGACCTTTCCCTGCACATGCTGCCAGACATGTCAGAAGTAGGTCACTTGCCATATCTGGTAAGCCTGTGCTTACACCACCAGATGTCTTTATGCAGACATCAGAAAGTCTTAAATCGCGATCTATTTCTCAACGGCAAATCTTTAAAAGTCCTATACTTCACCCACCCCGCATTAAGAGTCATGCCTAGATAAAAATGTATGAAAACCTTTTTCCTTTTACTTTAGCTTACATTAAAGACACCTAGTAATTTCACATACTCCAAAAATAACTTTAAAGTCAGATATTTGAAGACAAAACAATGTCTCATGTTAATGTGTGCTCTACTCAAGCAAAAACTGAGTTACAATTAACCACCTGCCATAATCATTAAATACCTCTACTCCAGAGAACATTTAATCAAAGAGAACAGAGGCAGCCTGTAATGCAGACTAGAACAGCAAACTGGCTAGAAAACACCAACATACCACAGTAAGCCAGTTATTTTGCTGATTACAAAATCAGACATAGCTAGTATTTGCAACTACGCATTTTCTATTTGCTCACAAAAAGGTTAGGATTATACCTGTGTCGTCAGCCATAACATTAGTGCTCGATTTCCACAGACAAAGCGAGTGTGTCGATATCTCCAAAATTAACGTTGAAGGCAGAATAAGAAACAATTTATCCTCACTGTAGTCTTGCAACAGGAGCAAACAAGTTTCCTAAAGCCAGCTCAGCTGGAACACGAAACTGGACCCAAGAGAAACCTCTCCTCCAAATCTATTTTTAGAGCAGTTATCCTCAGGGGCCAAACGCTTTTCAGAACTCATATGGCAATCTAGTTCTGACGACAATCAAATTCACTTACTCCTCCTAACAGAGCATCCTGGGTAGTTGATCCTTTCCCCTCCCCTTAATCCTCCAACATCAAACACAGCAGCGAATGAAACTGAGCGTGTTGTACTGTAGTATTTTTGCTGCAATGTATGCCTCCGTGCCTGAGCTCTAAGGACATTAAATCCATCAGCATAAGCTGAAACACAAGTCTGGACACAAAGCTTGCCTGCTTGCATTTGTTAAGTTGGCCCTCGCCCAAGAACTTTCTCCATGTTGGCACTCTTCTACCAGGCTTCCCGGTAGAGACTGCTCATTTGAAACTTGCTAACTCCTTTAAGAATAAAAGACAGCTAATTTCTAAAATGTAGTTTTGAGTCTTATAAGAGTTACTTGAAATCAACCACACGCATTCTTGCCAAAGAATTTTCAGATCAGAACTGTTCCCCTGGTACACCTCATATTTGCTTCTAGCAGACCCAAAGGAGGGTTACTGATAGTTTTGCCAAAGCAAAGCCTGTTTCCCTGGAGTGCAATACACCACATGCCATAAAGGTAAACCAGGCAAAATTTCTATTGCGTATTTGTTAAAAGCAGCAGAGGTGTTGTTAAAAGTAGCAGAGGGATCTGGACAGGCTGGATCGATGGGCTGAGGCCAACTGTATGAAGTTCAACAAGGCCAAGTGCCGGGTCCTGCACTTCGGCCACATGCCATAAAGGTAAACCAGGCAAAATTTCTATTGCGTATTTGTTAAAAGCAGCAGAGGTGTTGTTAAAAGTAGCAGAGGGATCTGGACAGGCTGGATCGATGGGCCCAGGCCAACTGTATGAAGTTCAACATGGCCAAGTGCCGGGTCCTGCACTTCGGCCACAACAACCCCATGCAACGCTACAGGCTTGGGGAAGAGTGGCTGGAAAGCTGCCCGGCGGAAAAGGACCTGGGGGTGCTCATTGACAGCCGGCTGATCATGAGCCGGCAGTGTGCCCAGGCGGCCAAGAAGGCCAATGGCATCCTGGCCTGTATCAGAAATAGTGTGGCCAGCAGGGGTAGGGAAGTGATCGTGCCCCTGTACTCGGCACTGGTGAGGCCGCACCTCG